AGGCGTCCTCGAGCGCCTCGTTGTCGGCGGCGGGGAACGGCAGGTAGAAGCCGCGCAGGACGCGCCGGCCTTGCCGCTCCAGCCGTCGAGCCACACGCGCCACACGCCCTCGCCGCGCTCGAGCCTGGCCAGCGTGGTGCGCGCACGCTCCTGCCACTCCTTCGACATCTTTGCCGCCTTGAGCGCCCCCCACGCGTCCTTTGCCGACGGGTCCTGCGCAGCCGCTCGCGCGGTCGCCATCAGGTCGCAGTTCGCGAGCGCCGCCGCGTACTTGTCACGCTGTGCCGGCGCCCGCCCCTCGCTGTCGGGGGCCATGAGCTTGTCCAGGAAGGCGGCGTTGTCCATGTCGTCTCAGTTTTGCTCGGCAAACTGTCGAGCTTGGGCGGGGGGGGCCTGGAGGCGCGGCGCGGCCCAGTGTGATTTCCTGCTGTGATTCAGTGTGATTTCCCCTTTTGTGTACGTACTTTTAGCTTACTGGGACAAAAGGGAGAGGGGGTTGTGTTCTCTAGGCCCCTTATCTTGTTTTTAAACCAAGACACAGAGCTCATCACAGGATCAAAGAAAGAAAGAAAACGGACAACCCAAGGGAGGATCAGCGGGATGAAAGCCAGGAGGTTTTTCTTGTCTGCCTCCATCGCCGCCCGAAGATGCTCTCATTGCTCTCCCTCTACCCCCTTTCGCTCGCGCTGGCCACGAGCCGGCCTCCCGTGGGCGCCGCGCTCGAGGCCGCCGTCACTCCGAGCGACATCTTTGCCGCGGCCGAGCGGATCGACCCACCTTACCCGCCCTACGAGTTTTCGCACCGCCACATGGAGCAGGACGTGCACCAGCGCAAGAGGCAGTCGCTCGCCTCGAATGCGCTCGGCCGCCTGTCACGGCTCCTCGTGGGAGGCGGATGTGATGCCGCGCGGTCGGCGGCGCTGCGAGACGCGCGGCTCCCGCGGCTGCTGCTGTGTGCCGCCGTGCCGAGCGCGAGCGTTGCCGACGGCGCGTGCGCCTCGCTCGACACCGTGGTGGCGCGGCACGTCGCCACCAGCCTCGCTGCGCTCGCTGCCCTCTGCGCCGCCGACGCGGCCAGCAGCAGCAGCGTGCATGGCGGAGCCGCCTCCGAGGAGCTGCGCCCGCTCTGCGGCGGCGCCCGGCTGCTAGCGGACCGGGCCGACGCCCTCGCCGAGCGCATGAGCCTCGCCAGCGCCGTCTCCTCGCGGTGGGCTCCTTGCTCCCCTCATTCTCTTTCTTCGCTCTGCTTCCCGCCTCATTCTTCCGGTCTCTGCCGCACTCTCCCTCACAATTCGCCTCTTCCTCTCCTGCTCCCCTGCAGGTGGGCGGCACGCCGCCTCTTCGGGACCGACGCGGCGGTGCCTCGGCTCGACGCGCGGGCCGCCCACCTGCAGGGGAGGAAGTGTCTAGGAAGTGTCTAGGAAGTGTCTAGGTGCCTCGGCTCGACGCGCGGGCCGCCGAGCTGCCGTACGACGTGCTGCCCGGGCTGGTGGCGCTGCCGGCGGCGGAGGAGGGGGCACCCGCTCCGCGGGCGTGGCTGCCGTCCGTGGCGCGCCTCGCAGGCAGACTGACGGCAGAGTTAGGGTCAGGGGAAGGGTTAGGCATAGGGTCAGCCGTCCGTGGCGCGCCTCGCAGGCAGACTGACGTAACCCTGACCCTAACCCTGACCCTAACCCCAACCCTAACCCCAACCCTAACCCTAACCCTGTCCCTCCGCTTAACCCAGCCCTAACCCTAAACCCTACCCCTCGCAGGCAGGCTGACGGCGGAGGGTTTCGCTTCGGTGATCCCGTTCGAGCAGCAG